TTATAATGAGTCAATAAAGTAAAATGAATAAGGTCATGTCCATATATTGTTCAGTTGATATAGTAATTTCTGTGACAGGCCTATTGAGCATACAGTCATAAATGAGCACAACAAAAATAAGGCTTATGGGTCCAGCAGTACGCAAAATTAGCTGTGGGCAGACACAGAGATGTACACATCAAGTACACACGTACACAACTGAATACATTATCGTCCAGCGGACATAATTATAAGTGATATATTCAATATTACTGGGTGTTGAGTTGGTTGTTAGACTCCTGTCTACATCAACAGAGCTGAGGTGCAGCAAGTGAACACCTTTAAGTTCACAAATAACCTCACACATCTCCATCCGTGTGAAGAAAGCTCATAAATGGCTGTATTTACAACCCAGAACATCGTTGGTACCATCTACTGAGCATCAGTGACACTGGTGACAAGAGGAGCATATAAAGAGCATAAAAGAATATTATTTATTGGACAAAGAAAAAGTGATCCTCGAGAGGAAATGTTTCGGGGACTTTTGAGACCATTTAAAATATGAATGTCCCAACAGCTTTAAAGTAATGGTGGACGTTGTTTGTTAAAACCTGACAAAACCTTTCATGGAGTAGGGACATAAATAACACATCTATTACTTTGATATGAACAAATAATGATACGTTGACAGAAACAGCTTCCAAATTTTTGCAGCAATGCCCCCTTTCTTATATTTACGTCATTTTATTGCATTCATTCATTCATTCTTTCTGCCCTGACAGTCTTGTCCTTCAGCCAGAGGATCGACGGTTCAATCCCCAGCTCTGCTAGTCCTGGTCGAAGTGTCCTTGGGCACTTAACCCCAAGTTGCTCCCGTAGCTGTACCTACTGTGTATGAATGCTCTATGAATGATTAGATAGTCCTGATGGGCATGGTAGCCCCTGTCATCAGTGAATGGGTGTGAAAGATGACATGTAGTAATTGGAAAGTGAGTGGTCGAGAGACTAGAGAAGCGTTATACAGTCCATTTACCATCTACCTCCTCTTGTCCCACCGGAGTCCTGCTCACTGTCCTGTGTCTAGCCTAACTTTCCTGCAACTGGACTTCAGCCAGGAACAGACTGGATAGTGGAGTAGCCTTAGGTCCCAGCTGGCTTAGGTTGGCATGCATCTTGCCTCTCCTCCCTTTCCGGCTTGTTCCAGCAGGTCTGGCTGGGTTGTTGACCGTGGGCAGTGATCGTCTCAAGGTCCGCTCCCCACGAATTACCCAACCCCTTATGCTTCCTCTTCCAATGTTCATGAGTGTATTCTGTCATACG